ATATGAAAATATATAGGCATGTATATCTATACATATATAAATATATATATATAGTACATGTGCGCGTATATCTATAAATATAGTTATTCATATATGTATGCATGCCTTGATGGATTAAGAATAATATCGAACATCCAGCATCTGGAGAGAGAAGATATTATTTTTTTTTGTTTTTGCAACACTCAGGAAAGAGGTCTCATAACGCTTATAGGCGCCACTACGGAGAACCCGTCATTTAGTTGCAACGCAGCGTTGCTCAGTCGGTGTCGTGTAGTGACCTTTGAGCAGTTAACACAAGATGAACTACTGACCATACTCAACCGCGCCTTGGACACCGCCAATCCTAAAGTTGAGAGTATGTTGGAATACTATTTCAAACGAAAAAATTGTCTTAAAGGACAAAGAACTCCGGCTATATCGCAAATGATAAGCTGAAACGTCTGCTACACTGTCGGAGGCTGTTGCAGACATCTGCCACTTTACGCGTGTTTGCGATTGCATATTCGTACATACACATGTATTTACTCTCAGAAGGTGTCGGTAGTACGTACAGACATATCTCCACCTGACTCATACAGTGTAGTTTATGTTAGTCAAATAAGGTCAAGGCCACACTCGCGCGACCGGAGAATTGGCTTGTGGTTGGTAGTCAACAGCGTTCATGGTCCGGTATCCAGCGATAAACCCAGGTTTATTCTCAGCTTTATTCTCGCACGTGTGTGTATTGCGCGTTGTGACTGTAGAACCATTTTACTGATTACACGGCTCGTATTGATACTTGTATTGCGTTTGTCGCCTGTTTGATTCGTCAGCGGGTATGACTAGGTCATGCTATAATCTAGAACAAAGCGGGTTGTCCTGAATTTCAGTGTGATGTCAAATAGGAGGAATGCATAATATCGGTTTTATTTTACCAGAATTTGGCATCTACAACATGTACTTTCAAGGTAATTCGGGCACACTTTTATGCCGTGTCTAATTGTGTCTTAGTCTAGGCATCTTATCGGTAGGAACCAGTTCGAATCCACGGACCGCAGAGTCTTTTCAGTGACTGCCATCATCAGCAGTTATTAGTCATCGGCAGTAGTACACATTTGATAGGTACTCACCAGAAGAGCTTGCGTGCCTCTATTCATACCACTGCACAGGAAAACCCAACCATAACAGCAGACATCTTGCAACAAGAAAATTGCGCTCTCACCTCTCATATACATCGCAAACTGTGTATGTTTAGTCTCTGATGTGTTGTATATCGCTTTATAGTACTGGTACTGTGGTGTGCACTCAGAGTTTCTTAAGCTATAATTCTAGTATGTAAGTATATATACCACTGCCGATGACAACCCAATCAACACAGCATAGACCATAAAACAAGAAACTTGCGCTCTTACAGAAACCGCAAGCTCTATACATGTTCTCAAGCTGATATTATGGCTTGTCTACACCTATATCCGATATTTGCTGTGTACTTTATACTTAAGTGGTTTTTATCTATACGTCTCATATGCACTTATTTGTACCTCGGCAGATGATAGCACAACCACTGCAGCCGACACATTGCAACAAGAAATCGATGCTCTCACATACATCGCAAACATCGCCGATGGTGATGCTCGTAACGGTCTCAACATGCTGGAGGTGAGCTTGACGTCACAATCTGTGCGCAAGGAGGATGCCACGGATACCCCTGTGCAATTGGAAGGGTAAGTGTGGATTGTATTCATATACCACCAGGGCTTAGTTGAGTGAGGGTCGATATGTTCATCGATATGTTCAGCGCCTTCTATTCATTGGAATTGTCACATTGTGAAGTAAATGTATTCGATACGATCATCTCCCTTTCCTCATTTGAAGTGTAGTATTGGTTAGCTGGTCTACATGGCCCCTGTACAATTGGAAGGGTAAGTGTGGATTGTATTCATATACCACCACGGCTTAGTTGAGTGAGGGTCGATATGTTCAGCGCCCTCTGTTCATTGGAATTGTTACATTGTGAAGTAAATATATTCGATATGATCCTCTCCCTTTCCTCATTTGAAGTGTAGTATTGGTTAATTGGTCTACATGGTGAACAGGTTGAGACTGCTCTGTGCAGCACGAGCTAGAATCTTCTTGTTAAAAGCAGAGCTGAAAGCTTATTTGAATGTGACGAAACTTGAATTAGAGTCCAATCTTTTCCCTATCCACTCATACACACGTACAAACACTGCCGCAAGAGTGCTCGCACCAATGCCAATGCCACAATGACGGATGCGGAAGTGTTTATACCACCTTTTTCCCTATGAATATATACAGATAGTGTCGCAGTAATCAAGCCAGCGAAGACCACGGTTCTTCTCGCTTGTCGTATACACACGTACACAAGGTATCGTAGTAACCAAGCAAGTGAGAACAGCGGTTATTCTCATTTGCCCTATACATACATACAGATAGTGTCGCAGTATCCGACAAAGCGGGAGTAACATTTATTTTCTGATGTCATATACATACGTACCAATAGTGTCACAAAAACCAAGCAAGCGAGAATTACGGTGGAAACAGTACAAGCCGCAATCCAGAAGACGCACTTTCTGTACGACCGCGCAGGAGAGGTGTGTGCTTTAACGTTCTCTGTGAAAGGTTAATGTTATGAAATGTTTTCAAGTTGTGTGTTTTCTATTTCATGCGGGTCTTGTGTTTCGAATGTTGAGTAAGGAATAGGGACTTGACTACACATGTTGACGCATAAGAATGTACATCATTGCGCAAACAACGCACACATACACGTGTAACCACACTCCGGCACAGCTAATAATGATATCATATGCACATACTCCCGACCGAATATCTGTTCTAACAGTACATACATGTGTCCGTCACTAAGCACACAATCACGAACAGCCCAATACTTGTTCGACACAAGGCCAGAACTGCAATATATATAAATATATATCTATATATATGTATATGTATATATATATATATGTATATATATATGTATATTATATATATATATATGTATATATATATATATATTATATAGTAAACGTATAGTATTTATATTTAGCATACTATATATATATAGTATATATATATATATATATATATATGTATGTATATATATATATATGTATGTATGTATGTTATATATATAGATATATATATCTATATAAATATACGTATTCTAATATATATGCATATATACGTTCATGCACTTGTACGGGCACCTGTTCTAGCATTATTTTGCACTTGCATATAATTGCCATTAGGTTACTCATTTGTATCTCACTTATCGGCACAGGGTCACTATAACACCATCTCTGCGCTACACAAGTCTTTGAGAGGCAGCGATGCCAATGCAGGAATATACTGGCTCACGAGAATGCTGGCGGCTGGTGAGGACCCCTTGTAAGTACGCTAGCATGCGCGAGTGGTTGTACACACACAAATCACAACCGGCAAGTATAACTGAGTATATATGAGTGAGTGTGTACACACGCACAAACTGGAAGTATGAAGCGCACAAGCGAGGATAGATCGATAGGCTAGCAAATCTGCAAACGCACAATGACATACTCGAGACAAGGTCTAATCACGCCAACGTGTGTGTCAATAGCGGAGGTGTGTAGGGAATCTTGGTATGTTATCGGCACGAGTGGTAGTTTCAGACACTAAGATCTGTAACTACGCACTAGAATGTATATACGCAACATACATATACATATCTGTGCGATAAAGACGCACGTTAGGATTAACAAACACGCTGTACGACGTCGTAAACACGCACTAGAATGTACATATAATACATGCATATCCATATTGATCTGAAAAAGAAATTGTGCTCTAGAGCGTAAGTGCATTTCGCATACATTCGTATGGGCACTCCCTGTGTATGTGCACGATATGATTGATTCCTAAAGGCTATTGCAAGGGCACGCATACACGTTGCTCTATGTCATTGAATGAAATGAACTGCACACCCTAGACTAGTGTCTAACCTGACCCATCCAATTGTAGGTATGTGGCAAGGCGACTAATCAAATTCGCATCGGAAGATGTAGGGATTGCCGATCCGCAGGCCTTGCCCCAGGCTATAGCCGCTTATGATGCCTCCGCTAAGATAGGTATATCATACAAATTTTGTCTATAATTCTATATATATATATATATATGTGTGTGTGTGTGTGTGTGTGTATATATATATATATATATATATATCTGTGAGTCTATGTGTGTCTCTGTGTGTGTGTGTGTGTGTGTGTCTGTCTGCCTGTCTATATCTTGTATGTATATGTCTGTGTACGTTTGTGCAGGTATACTGGTATGACTTTCATTCAAATGGACACAGACAAATAACTGCCATCGCTTAAATACATACTCATACCTACAAGTATGATATTCTTTGACATTATCACCATTCTCAGCTGGTGCTCCTAATACGACAGCTGCTAAATAAAGCTATTGTTATAATAAAAAGAGTGCATTCTCATCCATATATCGGCATACTCGCTATCATCACTCAATTATCCGTGTCTTTGCCTCTGGGTACCGATCATCGATCGATCTTACAGGGATGCCTGAGTGTGGAGTGTGTTTGGCACAGTGTGTGGTGTATTTAGCGGCCGCTCCAAAGTCGGTCAGTGTGTACAGAGCATACAGCATGGCACTGCAACTCAACAAAACAGCGCCTGCGTACCCAGGTACGTATGTAGGTATAATTTTAACATGTACATTCATTTCTATGCTGTGTTTCTGTTTGATATGGGATCGCCACGATAATATGTATCGGTGTCTCTTGTCAGAGTGCTTGGTATGTGCGTGAAAATATTGTATCTGCCGCCTCTTTGTGCATCTTGTTTAAAATCGAAATCGATAAAGACTGTCGGAAGTACCGCCACACAGCTGTACTGAACGCTTGCTCCCCTCCTACTCCCGTGTGTAGTCTACAATATTCCACAACAACATCAAATTGTTTGGTATACAGGTACTGTTTTTGTTCAATTTCAGGTAGAGCCGAGCGTGTGGACTTTCTGCATGGCTGGCTCCGTTTTTGGAAGTCCAAAGTCGTCTCTTAGTTCTTAATGTGCGTTCTATTCATAAGGCGCGAATCAGTTTGTCATGTTACACTCGCCGCGTACTTTTTGAAAAGAGTATAGGAATGTTTTTACACATCCTATACCGCACAGCCGAATGCACGTTCTCGATGTACTACACTTACTTATTGTGCTTTGCCACTTCGTCACACATGTTGTTCTCATCACATACCTATTTTCGTATCACACCCGTCATATCATCGCAGGAATACTATAACCAGATACGCTTGGTTGTAGAGCTCTATCGTCCCATCAAGGATGTAGTTTTCCATGATACTTTTATCTGCTCATCACCTGTCAGGATGTTTAGTACTATAACCAGCCAAACTTGCTTACAGAGTTCTCTCGTTTCATCAAGGATGGAGTTTTTATTCACATTCATATCTCCTCATCACATACATCTTTCTATTTTTACACGGCACTTGCAGTACCTTTTCACCTCCGAAACGCGCCCACGAAGCTAATGAAGGACATAGGATACAAGAAAGGGTACTTGTACAACCCAGATCACACAGAAGAGGAATGTGCTGGCCAGACATATCTCCCTGACGAGCTCTTGGTATGTGCATAACCGCTATTAATTGAATTTTATATATATATATATATATATATATATATATATATATATATATATATATATATATATATTCTCTCTCTCTCTCTCTCTCT